CAGTTCAAAATATATGAACTTCATATATTTCATTGTATTTGATTTCCCGATTTTGTACGTACTCGTTTATTTGAAGAGAATACCACTTAACATAGAAACGAGGCTGGCAATAAAACGGTTAATTGCAATTCCTTCTTTGTTTATTATAGCAAACAAGTCAATACATGGGACATTAAAGAGCACTTAAAAACAATGTTTTGGCAAAAAGGCAAGATTTTTTTACATTTGATTTGAAAGAAAACTTAAATGAAGTCATGAAGTCAAACTTGCAAGGCATCATGGGATAAGTTTCAAGGTAGCGTAGTGCTTCAAAGTTCTATCGATTCTTAACTTTGCCGTCGTATGACGCTTTAAAAAAGACAGCTAATTAACAAAGAACACAAAAATAGAGATATCAAGCCGGAATTTTCATGTTGTTCAAGATCACAACGAAACTTGGTTGGTATGAACCGACCAAACTAAACGGCTTCGTTGTGAGATTGGTATTTTTAATTATTATTTGATTTGGCGGAGAGTGCTAAGAAAGAAAAAATATTCCATCAGCGAGCTATGAAATGAAATAGCCTTTAAACTAATGAAGCGAGAATTGGAGAAAATTTCTCAAAAAACCAAAGACGCAAAAAGATTCGTGGGAGTAATGTGGGAAGTGGAGTGCAAAGGCCTCGTGAGAAAGAGTCTTGCGCGAGCAGAACTTATGTGAAGAAACATGCACCTTTGTGATATGAGAACTAGATATAAGAAAGGAACAAAAATGTGCAATACTTTAACTGAATTTGTCGACTTGCGCACAGACGACATGATTGGAAAGGCTGCTATAGTTACGGGTGATAGCAGAATTATGTGGCTTTGCCTCTAGCTCGTGATTTTCCAGCAGCTGATGCCTGGTACCATGGCCAGAAATGTTTATTAATGAAAAAACAACATGGTGAAGACGTCTAACTCATGACACATCGCTATTACATTTTTTGAGGTGTTGTAATACACGTTATCATAGCGCTGGCAGCGTCCGTGGGCAATTTGAAGCAAAATCTGCGTTCTGCTCGCTTTCATATCGCGCAAGCAGAGAACTGCTTAGAGCACTCTTGCAAATTCGTACTTTATGGGAAATGTCGCCGACGTAGATCGCAAAGAGTGGCAGAAGATCGTCAAAACAACGAAAACATAAACGGCTCTCTCTATTGGGCTGCAACAGTTGGCTTTTTTTCCTACCGGGGCTATAAAAATAAACAAGACATTTTCGATTCTTATTAAGGCGGAGGACTTTTGCTATTTAAGAAATCCTTTATTAGCCTACTTGTGTGGTCAAGATGGATGGATATCTAATTCATTCATTTTTCGTGTTATGTGCCCTGACTTTGTTTAGCTCCACAAAAACGCCAACAAGAACTCGGCCAATATCCAGCCATCTTAACTTTCCACTTGGTCGATAACGAATATTTGTTGATTGTTTTGTAGAAAAATAGGCTTTAACTGCAAAACGAAAACCTTAGTCACGCAGCAAAACACGCGATATTGTTCTTTATACTTGGTTGTATAAACGTCTACAATACTTTCTTAGAGGGCTCTTCAAAACGAACACCTATCTACATGATGAATTTAGGCGCCCGGCAAAGCGTTCAGGCGAAAGTATTTGTTTTGTAGTTTAACTGAGCATTTTCTACAAAACCGGAAGACCCAATCGGTACCCTCTATTTCAACGTCTCTAAAAGCGTAGGGAGAAATATCATGTATTTCATGGTCTGGAAAAGCGTTTACGCCAACGTCTGTATTTTTTAGTCTGATCCCAGCTTTTTCTGCAGACAAGGACCCTATCAATAAAGTGTATTTAAACGCCTCACAAAGTGTAGCGCGCGATATTTCGGTGGTGAGTCTTATGTCTTCGGTCTCCGGTTGGTGTTCGATCTTCGGTTCATAGATACTCTCAGTGCCACTGCTGTCGATACCCGACCAGACAAAGTAAACAAGCGCTTATGCTTGGAAGGTGAATCTGCCCCGGATAAAGCCAATTATTGACACTTAAAGATTCGAATCAGCAAAGAAACGTTTTTTTTTAAGAATGTTGGAAACAGAATCGGTGAAGATTTCCTGAATAATAATCAGCTTTTTGTTCTTCTCAAAAGTCTCTCAAAGGCTCAACTGGCCACGTAGAGAGTTGCAGTCCTTTCGCCTGGGAGTCGTTTCGCTAACGACACAGTTTGCTAACGTTTAAATTGGTTCCGCTAACGTTTCAGGTCAGTTGACTGACTTATCATAGGCTCTTTCGCTAACGTCATAGGTAATTTCACAAAAGTTTATTTCTAGTTTCGTTCTCTTTAAAAAATAGCGACAA